CAACCAACACTTCTGAAGACAAATTCTACTTAAAGCACCAAGCCTTGCATTGTGAAAGAAATAAAGTGTGTACTCCAGTCAGGAAGACAGAGTGAGACGTCAACTCAAAAAAAAGAAAAAGAAAAAGAAATAAAGTGGACAAACTTCTTTCTCACAAAGACCCCACAATTTCATTTTTCTTTTTTTTTCTTAAGTTGGAGTTTCACTTTGTCACCCAGGTTAAAGTGCAGTGGCACGCTCACGCTCACAACCAATGCAGCCTGGACTCAGGTGATCCTTCTGTCTCAGACTTCCAAGTAGCTGAAACTACAGACATGCACCACCATGCCCGGCTAATTTTTTTATTTATTGTAGAGATGAGGTCTTGCCAAGTTGCCCAGGCTGGTCTCAAACCTCGGCAATCCTCTCACCTCGGCCTCCCAAAGTGCTAGGATTATAGGCGTGAGCCACCACGCCTGGCCGACTCCACAATTTCTATTCTTTTCTTTTGTGCTTTACGTCAGGGTTCATGAACTTCCCAGACTCCCCAAACTGTGATCTGTGACCAGTTTTCTAGAATAGTTCTAATATCAAACTGGGGCTGTCAGGTCCACAACACAGCACTCATAATGGCCTGTTTTGGTGTGGTGAGTACGCAGCATGGTTGCATGCTCAAGGGCAGGGCTCCAGCGAGCACTGGCAGGATGAGAAGAAGGTCCCCCTGGAGTTGCTGAAGAGACCCGTTTCATGATCTCTTCCCTATTGACCTCCTGAGCCCCTCCTGACTATCGTACACTCAATTTACAATCTGTGCATATTCGATGAATTTTCAGCTATTTTCTCTGCCCTTGGGCAAAACTCCGCTGTTTGTACTGTACCTGGATGCCCTCATCTATGCTTGGCTGGTTTCACCTTCTTCCTTACCCAAGACCCACTTTTCTATATGCTGTCCCTGAAGAAGGAACAGACCTATGTGGTCATGTTCAAGAGAGAAAAATGCCACCTGACCGTGCCCTTTTGTCCCTGATGACTGGATCAAGGGTGTTTTCCCAATCCAAAGAGAACTGAGTCATAGCTGGGCTGAGCCAGTCTCTCTCTCTCTTTTTTTTTTTTCTTTTTTTGCCAAGAATTTGAATTAGGAAGCACATGAAATCCATCAGCATTGGTTATGGACTGGTGAATTGTATTGACTCGGGGTTGACAATCAGGTTGGGCCACGGGCAAGCAGAGAATACAGTCTGAGAGATAGAATGGAATCAGGCATGGAAAGAAGTAAAGATGACAGAGCCCAAGAGGCCTCTGAGGGATGAAGAAACCACTCTGGTCCTTGGCAACTTCCCACAGCTAGTTCTTACAAAGCCTGGTTTGACTTGACTCAGGCAGTCATGTTACTGCCCCTGGACTCTTACAATATCTGCCCTCACTTAGTTGGCCTGAGTGGAGCTCTGTTTGCTGAAACCTAAGTGCATTCACCTAAACATCTTTCCATGTAGAGTTCTTGTGTGGCTCTTCTCAGATTGACCCCTTCCATAGAACTCTGCTCTTGTCTCACACTCACCTGCAGGGATGTGAGCTCCATTTTCCACCCCTTGACAAGGCTGCCTTGGCTCACCTGCCTGGAAATATCCTGTATGATGAGCTGCCTGTACGCTCCCCATGGGTTGCAGCTGCCTCCTAAGTCAGTCTATTACCCAGCAGTGCAATTACACATTCACAGGCATTTGCTATCTAATTATAGAGTTTTAAAACATTTTTTAAGCTAATAACTTTTTTTTTGAGTTGGAGTCTCACTGTCACCCAGGCTGGAGTGCAGTAGCACATTCATGGCCACTGCAGTCTTAACCTGCTGGCGCAGACGATCCTTCCACCTTAGCCTTCCAAGTAGCTGGAACTATAGGTGCACATCATCATGCCTGGCTAATTTTTTGATTTATTGTAGAGACCAGGTCTCACCAAGTTGGCTCAGGCTGGTCTTGAACCCTGCGCTCAGGCAATCCTCTTGCCTCCCAAAGTACTTGGGATTACAGGCTTGAGTCATCACACCTGGCTTAAACTAATGACTTTTAAACACATTTTAAAAGCAGGGTTACTGGTTACAGGAGACTATAATAATAACATTCCAGACATGTGCTACAGGCTTTATGTGCCTCACCCATGGCAACCCAAAGAACCATAACAATAAACATGTTTATTTCCTGCATTGCGGCCAATATTGTCTCTCTTTTCCAGGGATAAAGGTGACAAATCTCTTAGTAATTTGTTCTGGTTTATTGAAAGTGCTCACAATCAGTATACATGAAGAGACACATTACAACACGATGGATATTGCTGGATTTCACCTTAAAGATCTCATATTTAATAAAGTACCTGGACAAGGTGTGAAATAAGAAGGCCAAATGCAGGACACTCAAGGAACAATCAGGGTGTTGACCTGACACTCAATAATCTAAAACCAGAAAACTTGGTTCTTTACTTGATACTGTGCAGAACCAGGGTTTAGAAAAACCTCATATTTACTGTATAGTATCCTTTTACTCAATGAATCTGAGTGTGCAGAAGCAATTAAACTCAGCTGGTTTCAGCCCCAACTAAAGAGAAGAGGTTCTTGTCTAATTGCAAAGCCGCTCTGACAGCCTTCGGGTATTATTTACTCACTGATCACATCCTCAAATAACCTGCAAAAAGGCTAAGAGGACTTCTGGGGAGTCAAGCATGTGAATGTTTGGAATTCCTCAGTTTGTGAATATGGACAGAGAGATTTCTATCAGGCAGAGAGAAAAATGCAAAAAAGAATTTTTTTTTTGGAGTCTCACTCTGTTGCCCAGGCTAGAGTACAGTGGCACACTCACAGACACTGCAGCCTTGACCAACTCAGGTGATCCTTCTGCCGCAGCCTTCCCAGTAGCAGGAATTACAGGGACGTGCCACCACACCCAGCTAATTTTTTGATTTATTGCAGAGGTGAGGTCTTGCCCTGGTTGCCCAAGTTGCCCTGGTTGGTCTTGAACCCATGGGCTCAGGCAATCCTCTCACCTCGGTCTCCCAAAGTGCTGGGATTATAGGCGGGAGCCACTGTGCCTGGTCAATTTTTTTTTTTAAAGAAATAATGTAGCAGAAAGACACCTGCCTGGCTTTCTAGGATCCGCACCCCCCAAAAAAGTTCCTCTCACCCCCATTTGAGTTGGAGGTGAAGTGGCCTGGGTTTGTATCCCCACTCCCACACTCATTAGCTATGCTACAAGTTATTTTGCTCTTTTTCTTTTGGTATTTTTATCTGTGAAGTGAGAATTATATTCTTAGGTTGTTGTGAGAATTAAATGGGGTAATACTTAAGACTGGCACCTGCCACTCAGTTAATAATAAATGTCCGCCATTATTTCTTAGCCCATGCTCCCAGACTAGCTGATCCAGGCAGAACATGTGTTTCTCCCTGGGAATCTGGAATTGAGATGAAGTCAGTCTTGGTGTGTGACTGAAACCTCCGCACCTTGAGGCCAGAGGAGCAGAAAATAACAATCTTCAAAAGGAGGAAACAGCTTCAATGGGAGAAAGTAAATCTCACCTAGGTTCCCTCATTTGCTTATTTAAAAAGTATCCTTTATGCTTCCACTAACTTCAGAGGTCTTTCCTTTGCACCCAAGAGTCCTAACCAATATGCCAACACCTAGAAAAAAGACGAAAACTGCTTAAGAAGAAAAAGGAGGAGGTACAGATTAAATTCCCTGTTACTGTCAGAGTAAAATAGAGTAAAATATGCCACAAGTGAACAGCTAAGACATTTCTTTCCTCTACTGAAATAGTATTGGGAGTCTTTCCCAGAAACTCTATATCAACCTGCCTTTTTTTTTTCCTTTTCCAGGATTTGATCCTTTTTGATCCAAAGGCCCCTGAAATTAGCTTTTATTTCAGAATTTTGTTAAACAAGTAAAGGTACATAGTAGGTGCTTCAAGGGTGACTGTAGTCACAGGCAAAGTCTTTATGAACAGTTGTTTCTACTTCAGGATTTTTTTTTTTTTTTCAGTTGGAGTATCACTCTGTCACCCAGACTAGAGTGCAGTGGCTACTCCCGGCCACCGCAGCCTTGACCTGCTGGGCTCTGGTGATCCTTCCTCCTCAACTTTCCAAGTAGCTGGAACTACAGGCACACGCTACCATGCCTGGCTAATTTTTGATTTATTGTAGAGATGAGGTCTCACCAAGTTGCCCAGGTGGGTCTCGAACCCTCAGGCTCAGGCAATCCACTCACCTCGGCCTCCCAAAGGCGCGGGATTACAGGCTGAGCCACGGAGCCCGGCTTACTTCAGGATTTTTAAACACAAAGGAATGGCCTGAACAGGGTGAAGTAAGGATTGTTTCTTTTCCCTCCCACAGATCTTTCTCAAGAAGAAAACATTTAATGACATTAAATATTTAATGACATTAAATAAAGGTTTAGCAAAGAAGAGAGGAAAAAAAGGAAAATTTTATTAGCTTAGGGAAATTTCATCTCCCTCCCTCCTCCAACCCACCAAATCAGTCACTTTACAATATAAGAATATTTTCTTTTGTTCTAGGTGAAAACAAAAAGGGATTTAGGGACCCAAGTCTTTATTCTAGGTTCTTTTAACCCAGAACAAGTCCCTTAACTCTAAGGACCCTGAGACTGAATTCTCTTCAATCTAGCACTTGTTTAGGATCTGGAGGGTTCTCCTGCCTAGATTATATTTTCATTTACTTTTGAGTCTCACATCAATTTTAACTGCACTTCTTAGAAGAATGGTGTAGCAAAATCCAAAAGATATTCTCTAAAACTGGAGTTCAGGATTGGAAGTTTCAACATTTGGCCTTTTGTGTCAGTAGCGCAAGGACCCGCCTCCGTCAGATACCCAGGGGGGCGGATGAAAGGGCGAATGTCACAGGGGAACACAGGCTCCTCTGTGCACGAATCAAACCCCGTCAATAGCAACTCGGGTCTGGAATGTGCTGTGTAGGGTGAGCTGGGGGTATTCCTACACAACGGCATTCTCGAAAGAGAACCTACCTGGATTGAAATAAAAAATAATATTTAATAAGTCCTGGTCTCCCCACGTGATGGCGTTCTTGTACTTCTGGAACAGAGGGTACAACATGTCCTCCCAAGCCAAGCCTGTTGGAATCATGCTGTTCTGGAAAAGAGAAAATCATCAGAACAGCTGAAGCAAAGCAAATACATCTTGTCCCCTGAGAAACAACAGAGAAGGACTGGTTTGCTTTCCCTCAGAAGAATGAAGCAAACAGAGGCGGGGTCCTGCTATCCTCAGGGCACAGGGCAAATTAAAATTATGGCTGCTGAGTATGTCAGTTTTGCCAGATATTCACACAGATACTAGATGAACCAGGAACTGGCAAATTGGGTCTATGGTTTCTACTCAGAAAACCATGCCAAAATCGAACCTCTTTCTTAAGCTTATTTCTTGTCATTGAAGTGGAAGAACAAGATGCAGATAACAGAATTAGGGTGTCTTAAGGAAAAACACTGTTCCTTGTCTTAAAAATGGGATTTACTTAAAAAAAAAAAAAAGGGCAACACATTCACAGACTAAATATTCAAACAGCACACAAAGATATAAAATAAAAAAGTAAAAATATTCCCCCACCCTATTCCATTCCCCATTTCCCCAGAATTATCTGCAATGAACAATTAATGGTCTCTTAGGCATTCTTCTAGACATTTCTAAGGCAGAAAAGTGATCATATTCTTACAGTATCGTGATGTCCTGCATTGATTTTTTTTCCCTTAATATTTCTTAGCAATCTTATTACTCACAGATCAATCTATATTTTTGAATAGGAGGATAATTTTTAAAAAATAATTCTCTACCTAAGTTCCTCTAGGTTCTATGCTAGGACAAAAGATAAGATCAGGAATACTCTTGTACAAATACTTCTGTGTACTTAGACAAATATATCCCCAGGGTCATTCTAAGAAATTGTACGTGATCTTTGAAGCCTTGGGTATACATAGAGTTCAAACATTACGGGATTTGGAAATACAACTTAATATTCCTGAGGGGTAACTCTTCTGAAGCTTTAAATTACATGGCGGTCTGGGATTTTCCCAAACAAACAAATATTCCACAATTTTCCAAATACTCGTCTCTGGTTTATGCTCACCCACAAGGCTACTTCTTTCTAAAATCAGCATACTGACACTCTGGGAATGTCAGTGTGGAAAGAGACAAACTCCCAGTCTTTAAACAAGGACTTCTGAAGTACTTCATTACCTTGAACTGGGCACTTCTTATACGAGTCAAGTTCATTAACATGACTCCTGAATTCACTCCCGCAGAACCATAGAAAGGGTGCCTAGCAAAGCGGCTGTACCAGCCAATCTTGGGTATTTCATGCTCTGGGGCCATGGCTGCAAGCTGGGTAGAATTAAACTGCCTTAGAAGCTTCCAGATGTCATCGACAGGCCTCAGAAAGAGAACATCAGTGTCCACGTAGAGAAGTGAGTCCACATCCTTTAAAATCACCTTTGTGCGTAAGGGTTAGGGGTAGGAGATGGGGTGGGGAGGAGAAAACAAACAAAAACAGGTCAGAAACAAAGGAAGTGGCCTTTTTAGGTAAATAATGCAATCAATCTTCATTGATTAATGCTAATTTCTAGAAAGGGTACCACTTGCGGTTCCTATTCCTCCCTTCTCCTTTGACTTCAGGGGTGTCAATCAAGAAGTGGAGACTTAAAAGAAGATACATCTTGATCAAGTTTGGCCCAATTCCAGAAGCCTGGACTATATTTGATAGGGAATGAACTTTCAAAGGAATGAAAACATCAGCAAATGACTGTGACTTTCTCTTCTTCCATCTTCCCATAAGGCCACTTGTCCTCATCCAGGTCTGGCAATAGAATACTTGAAGCAATCTCTAAACTAGCTCAAGTCAAACCTTGGGGGTAAATATTCTGTCTCTGGATCTAATTCTTCTAGTGTTAATGAGTGGCTCTGCAATTTTTATTTATTTATTTTATTTATTTATTTTTGAGTTGGAGTCTCACTCTGTTGCCCAGGTTAGAGTGCAGTAGCACGCTCACAGCCACTCCAGCATCGACCTGCTGGGCTCTGGTGATCCTTCCGCCTTAGCCTTCCAAGTAGCTGGAACTACAGGCACATGCTACTACACCCGGCTAATTTTTAATTTATTGTAGAGATGAGGTCTCGCCAAGTTGCCTAGGCTGGTCTTGAACCTGCGGGCTCAGACAATCCGTTCATCTCGGCCTCCCAAAGTGCTGGGATTATAGGTTAAGCCACCGAGCCCAGACTGCAATTTTTTAAATGATATTTTTAGCTAAGATTTGGACTTCGAATTAGGCAAAACAAGTCACTGGCCTGCTTTGTTTTTATGTCAGGAACTGACAAACTTTTTCCTCTCAAGAGTCAGATAGTAAATATTTTAGGCTCTGTTGCAACTCTTCAACTCGGCCATTGCAGCACAAAAGCAGCCTTGACAACACAATGAGCATGCCTATGTTCCAATAAAACTTTATTTCCGGATGCTGAAATTTAATTTCATTTAAATTTCAGATCTCACAAAATATCCTTTTTTTGTGTTTTTTTCCCCAGCCATTTGAAACATAAAGCCATTCTTGGCTCATAGACTGTGGTTTGCTGACTTTTGTTGTGGCTCATTCAAGTCAGCCACCTTAGGTGAAAGAGTTCTCCCATGCTAACGGCTTAGCTTTCTAGAGCTTTGTCCTGGAGTTTCAGACTTCACACCTTAGTAACCGTGCTATTTGCCTTGTTTTGCCACTGTTCCCCAAACTTAGGGGTAGCTTAACTAAGAAAGGATTTGAATCTTCCTGGATCCATGGCCTAACATCTTCGTGGCACCATGACAACACAATATTTGCACTCCTCACCATTCATATGTTGAAGCCCTAACCCCAGTGTGATGGCATTCAGAGATGGAGTCTATGGGAGATTAAATTTAGTTGAGGTGATAGAGGTGGGGCCCTCATGATGGGATTAGTGCCTGTATAAGAAGAGACACTGGCCGGGCACGGTAGCTCAAGCCTGTAATCCCAGCACTTTGGGAGACCCAGGCGAGAGGATTGCCTGAGCCTGTGGGTTCAAGACCAGCCAGGGCAACAAGGTGAGACCTCATCTCTACAATAAATCAAAAAATTAGTTGGGCGTGATAGAGAGCGCCTGTAGTTCTGGTTACTTGGAAGGCTGAGGTGGAAGGATCGCTGGCGCTCAGCTGGTGGACAATGGGGTGGCTGTGAGTGTGCCACTGTACTCCAGCCTGGGTAATGGAAAGAAACTCCAAGTAAAAAAAAAATAAAAATAAAATAATAATAATAATAAAAGAAGAGCCACCAAGGAGGCTGTGTGCTCTCTGTCTGCCGTGTGAGGACGGGAAGAAGGATTACCAGAACCTGGCCATACTCATCAGACTTCCTGCTCTGATCTCAGACTTCCAGCCTACACAACCAAGAGAAAATAAATTTCTGTTGTTTCAGACACCCAGTCTTGTATTTTGTTACAGCAGCCCAAGAAGACTAATATAACACTCCATTGGGATCCCTCATATTTAAAACTGATGATCGTGGGTACTATATAATACAGGTGTCACTGGAATTTCAGACTTGAGATCCAATAAAATGAAAATAATAAACAATAAAATGAAATCTAAAATGATGATCATCTACCATCTCATAAAAGATTATCTTGACATCTACTGTAACAACTTGAAGATTCTAATTTCATAATTAGGATGAACTCCACAAGTTGAATGTCCAAACCATCTGTAAAAATTCACTATATTATCATTATTTTTTTCTTATTTTGCCATGAAAAGGTAAAAACTCTGTCAAAAATTAGCATTAGTCCGCTATTTTTAAAAAAAATCACAACTCTAGAATAATGTGTAAGAAAGGCAAACTCTCTATAAAACATTAACAAGTATATGTTATGATATACATTATATATCAAATGTAAAAACAATTATGATGTCTTGCATGCCCAAGACTATCCCAAGGGCTCAATATCCTGCCAATTATGTTTTACTGCAAAGGAAAACTTAAGCATAGAGAAGTGTTCTATCCAAGTTGATGTGTCAAATAATGCTAACGATTGCTGGATTTTGGCAAGTAAGCTTACAACAAAATAAAGTAACTTTCTAGAATGTGCTTAAGGGAACAAGAGACAGCATGGCTTTCCTACAAAAAGCTAACTTAAAGTTACAGAATCAGAGGGGAAGAGAGCTAATTCAATCCATGTGAAATAGTACAATTTTCTCTTTATGGCTGCTTATCTGGTGAGGCATGATTAAAAACATGTAATATTAATGTTTTCATCAATTAAGGGGTATGCAGAAATCAAGTCAATTTGAGCTCACTGACTTGGTTACTTTAAAGTTGTCATTACTTTCTTCAATACAATAAATTTGATTACCACCCCTTATTGGAGTAAAAACAAAGAAAACCAAAAGACTTGAAGAAGGCCCAGAAAGGGAAAAATTAAAAGATCTAAAGAATGGATGTGGCCGGGTGTGGTGGCTCAAGCCTGTTATGCCAGCACTTTGGGAGCCCGAGATGAGGGGATTGCCTGAGCCCATGGGTTTGAGAACAGCCTGGGCAACTTGGTGAGACCTCACCTCCACATAAATTAAAAAAATTAGCCAGGTGTGGTAGTACGCACCTGTAGTTCCAGCTACTTGGAAGGCGGAGGCGGAAGGATTGCCTGAGTCCAGCAGGTCGACATTGGGGTGGCTGTGAGCATGCCACTGCACTCCAGCCTGGACAAGAGTAAGACTCCAACTCAAAACAAACAAACAAAAATAATGGAGGTGTTCTATCAGAAAGCTATACTATCTGCACCATCTTTAATCAAGAGAGAAAAAGGCAAATGAATTGCATGAAAAATTTTAAAAACTAGAACAATCTTAAACAGGGTAGCATTTTTACTTAACCAGTATCTTACTATTTGACATACAGATTGCCCCCACAGTTTTACTATTATAAACAACATGACAATGGATTTTTTTTTTGAGTGGGAGTCTCACTCTGTCGTCCAGACTGGAGTGTAGTGGCCGCTCCCGGCCACCGCAGCCTCGACCTGCTAGGCTCCGGTGATCTTTCCGCCTCAGCCTTCCAAGTAGCTGGAAATACAGGCACGCACTACCACGCCCGGCTAGTTTTTTTGATTTATTGTAGAGATGAGGTCTCGCCAAGTTGCCCGGGTGGATCTCAAACCCGCGGTCTCAGGCAATCCACTCACCTCAGCCTCCCAAAGTGCTGGGATTACAGACTGAGCCACCGAGTCCGGCCAACAATGGACTTTTTAAAGAAATATTTCCAAGCACATATTATGGCATTTTTTTAATTTACATGGTTCAAAATAAAAATACATGAAAGCAAATTCATTGACAAGTTACTTTTCCTTGTCCCTCAGTCACCACGTCCCCTCCTTAGAGGTAACCAACATAATTAGACTGCTCTGTGTTGTGCCTGAGATATGTTATGCATGTAGAACAAAACAGTTATGCATATTTAATTCCCTTTTTTATGCTACAAACAATAGCATAGCATACACAATGTCATTAGCCTGCTTGCTCTCCTTTAAACAATACATGTAGATCTTCCCATACCAGTACATAGAGACCGTACCGATTATTTTATGCCTGTACAGTGTTCCATTATGTGGATCTACCATAATAGATCTTTTTTTTTTTTTTGAGTTGGAGTCTTACTCCGTTGCCCAGGCTGGAGTGCAGTGGCACGCTCCTAGCCACCACAGCCTTGACTAGCTGGGTTCCGGTGATCCTTCTGCCTCAGCCTTCCAAGTAGCTGAAACTATAGGAGCATGCTACCACATCCAGCTAAGTTTTTTTATTTATTGTAGAGACCACATCTTTCCAAGTTGCCCAGGCTGGTCTCGAACCCACAGGCTCAGGCAATCCCCTCACCTCGGCCTCCCAGAGTGCTGGGATTACAGGCTTGAGCCACCATGCCTGGCCTCCATAATAGATCTAGCCACCTACTGCAGACCACACACAATGTCACAATGCAAACCCTCTTAATCTAAATTCATTTCAAACACATGTGAGTGTATATGCAGGATAAATTCCTGTAAATATAATGACTGAGTCAAAAAAATATATGTATTTGTAAATTTAATAGATAATGTCAAACTACCTTCCTAGAAGTGAACCAATTTAGGATTTCACCATCTTTTTTATTTCTAGTCAGGGTCTCAGTCTGTCTCCCAGGATAAAGTGCAGTGACACAATCATGGCTCACCCGCTTCAACCTCCTGGGCTCAGGTGATCCTCTTTCCTTAATCCCTTGAATAGCTGGGATTACAGGTGCAAGCTACTATGCTTGGCTAATTTTTATTTTTTTGTAGATTATAATTTTTTTTCTCTCACTATGTTGTCCAGGCCAATCTCAAACTCCTGGGCTTAAGCAATCCACCTTGGCCTCCCAAAGTGCTGGGATTACAGGCATGATCCACTACGCCTGCCACCTGGCTTT